TATTCAGCCCCCAGGCTTGCGTGGTCTCGTGCACGGGCACTTAAATTTTTGGCGCGAAATTACTAATGGAACGGCTGGGTCATTTTCAAAAAAAGACCGCTAAACGGATATTTTTATTTTGTTTTATGCAAAATTCACGTTGAGTTCCGGCATTGTGAGCACAAGGTAGGTGTAAAGAAACAACCACCCATGCAGTTAACCTAATTATTTCAAGTGTGGCGCAAAAACGCATGATCGCACCGGCTCGCCTGGTGCGTTCCAGCCTGGGTTTATCATTCCAACGGATTCGATGACGCAGACGGTGGATCGACGATGATGGATGGCTACGCGCGGCGAAACGATCAGGCATCATTGCCTTCCAATATTTTTTTCTGCGTGTCATATTCTTGCGTTTGCATGTATTAGCTCGTGTCGCGCATATTTTATGTATATAATAGAGGTTATATTACCCAAGTCTGAGGTAATCGGCGGTACAACGAGTGGGTCTGCGGTTGGTTAATACTGTACAACGGAACAACGTTAGCTGACCTAGAAATCAAAGCCTGGTGGTATTCACGCTGTCTGCTAGCCGCCGAAGTCGAGAACTTTAGAAGTATTTGCTAGGAGCATAATTACCCAACTAGGGCGCTCTGGAGATACTTGAGGGCACGAACCAGAAATACAATTTAATTATTATTGTTGTGGGACAATGCGACCTGAGGAATCAACAAAGCAGTTCCTCCTCCACAACAATTTAATTTGGTGTTTGGTGCCACGAGCCGGGAATAAACAGCTGAAGCAAGCAACCGGGACAAACAGCTGCAATGTCTTCAGGTATCAACAGTAGTGCCAGTCAAGTCAAGAAAAAACTGCTGAAACTCCTCGAAGAAACCAAACAGTTGGGGCCTCTTCATGTAAGTGAAGGTTTATCAACTGATGAAAAATGCGATCGGTATTAAGCATACAGTAGAATAATAGAAGAAAAACTGCGGTGGTTAGACCAGCAGTTGAGTACACTAGAAAAGATTCATGATCGGTGGCTAGAATTTCTAACCAGTTTGCCACTGAACCAATGAGAAGATGAAGAAAAGAAATATGAAGATATGACAAACGACGACGCAGGTTTGCTGAAGTTGATTGAAGATGGAAAAGAAGCTAAGATCACTTCAGCAATGACCAAAGAAGATAATGACATGATAATTCAACGGCTGAAGCAATTAAACAGCAGGACATCAACGTCGGAAATGTCGCAGGAAAATGCGCATCTGGTTAGTGGCACAGTGGGATCGACTTACAGAGAAGCAATGGTGAAGCTACCAAGATTGTCTTTAAGAGAATTCAACGGTGTTCCAAAGTACTGGCGTGAATTTTGGAGTGGATTCGAAGCTGCAGTCCATAATCAAAACCCGCCAGATATACAAAAACTGAATTACCTATTGCCTCGTCTCCAAGGCGCTGCACTACGAGCGGTTGAAGGTTACGAAGTTTCCCCAGACAATTACCGAGTAATTCGTGAAGTTCTGGTCAAAAAGTTCGGGGATCCAACGATTATCAAAAGATCTTTATATAGTGAACTCAAATCAATAAAAAGAAGTGATCGTGACATGAAATCAACAGTGGAATCAATTGAAAGAATTCTGCGGCAGCTTGCTGCACTCAACGAAGACCTCGAGCATCCAAACATAGAGATAGCTATTGAAGAAAAGCTTCCTGTTTGGACTCTAAATGAAGTTTATCAGCAAAAGGAAGATGAGACTATGTGGTCAGTGAAGAAATTGCGTGACTGCTTGGAGAAGATAGTTAACTGCAAAGAAGACGTATCCAGAATTCAGTCAACTGAATTCAAACACGACGAGCGAAGATTCACAAGT